TTTCAGTGATTAGTAATGAAGAGTGTAAGCGTATATTTGCTAATAATTTAACTATTCAAGAAGTACATATTTGCGCAGGGAATTTAAAAGGAGCAAAACATCCATGTTCGGTAAAGATAAAATATTATATAATGCGTTATTTAGTTTTAAAATTCATAGTAAGTCAAAAAAAGAAATATAAAATCTAATTAATGATAAAAAATGATTTAATTTATTAAAATTAGTTATATTTTGTTGGTCTTGTATGATCATGAGANAATTAGTTATATTTTGTTGGTCTTGTATGATCATGAGAATAATTGAGTTACTATAATATTTATTGAATAAAATTATATAATATAATTTTTTTTCGGGATATGAGTATGAGAGTTTTACGAGAAGTTATAAAATATAGAAAAGCAAAGTGATGTTTGAAAATTTGTTTATATAATAATAATTTGATACAGAAATTATTATGATTAATTGTCATACATAGATTATCAACAACGCCACTCATACCAGTAGTTATCTAGGCTTGTGCTGAATGTGAGTCGTGTCAATAAATATCTCAAGTAGTATAGGAACCACAAGTGGGCTCTATATCTTCACAAGAGAGTCTTTATTAGTATTGACCACACAGGTAACCCACTCAAAGATTGGACTAGGCTGGCTAACTTCGTACAAACGTTATTGATTCTCTTTAATTATTTAAACAATATTTTTTTCTAGAGATCACTTTATTTTTCTGGTTTCCTACTTAATTTATATACTCATTATTCTTGACTTCAAACTTTATAAATATTTGGTGAAATATGAATTTACCTTACTGATGTCAAGAGTAAGGTTGAAATAAAGAATATACTTTAATTTTCTATATAAATTCGTATTTTGTCAATATACTTTTTGCATTCATTGAAAGTTCATAAAGGTGAAGTAGTAGTGAGAGAGATTGCAGTTTTTATTGCCTTTTATATTAAATTTAATTCATCTATATATGCAAGAAGTTTCACGACCTTTTACTATTATCTGTTTATTACTCAATTGTGTCACTTAATACATATTATTTTACTTAAATAATGTAAAGGTCATTTTTACATATATTTTATCAAATTTGGAGGGTAATACTAAGGAATTTCTGCAAAAAATATTTCATCATCTACTACTAAAGATTTTAACTAAACTAGAAAACTATTTCTTTTCCTATTAACAAATTTATTTATATAAAAATAAACAAAACGTGTTTATTATAATTAATTTTAGAGGGATGCCGGAGGACCATTAACATGGAAAAAAGACAACCAATATTATTTAACCGGTATTCAATCGTTTGGAGATAAATGCGGAGAATCTGGATTTCCAGCTGTTTATACTAGAATGACAAAATATTTGAATTGGATTATTTCTAAAATTAATTATAACTAGTTTATTTTACTTTTAATTTAATATGAACTTTTGTACTTTTTTAATATGTAGTTGTGATGATATAATTTTAATAAAATAAAACAATACAGTTTAACCCACTCAAGGTTGTATCGAAGCTAAAAAGGGCTCCAAGTAATTATATATTGAAATTACTTTGCTAGCTTTCATCAAAGTCCATTATTTTTTAGCTTCCACCAATGTCAAAAACTTAATTTTTATGATCTTTATTTTCTAACGACATAGTTTCATAGATAAAGTTTCTAAATAGTGTTGTGTTTAACCCAATTTACCTTACAATGATTTTCTAGTTAACATTATGAAATCGACTTTTCTTTTTAATATAACTAAAAATTGTAGTTTTGAATTAAAAATAATTTTGTTTTCTTCTATCTTCAAAGATATAATAGCTGCAAACTTTATAAAATTAAAAATAACATTGTTATCTTAAATAAAATTGATGTGATAAGGTATAGGTTAAATGCTAAAAATACTTCAAAAGGTTTAATGTTCTAAAATTTAAAAGAATCTTATTAACTTATTTATGTAATTATTTTATAAAATCATCAATTAATGCAAACTAAATTTAGATTTTTTTTTTTAAAAAAGAAAAATTTTTAAGCTTAATAAGGTAATACAATACATCTTTCACAGTTATTAACTATATATATTAATTAACAATAATTAGATTTCTTTTCTTCAAAATCGGGATTTTCAAATTTTTTTAAACATTTTTGAACCAATCATATAAATGATTATAAAAAATGTGACAAGCGTATCGAATTATACAAAATTTTAAATTGTTGTCATTAAGTAAACGTATAGTCTTTTTTGATGATTTACATTCTATTATGTTACATAAATACCCTCGGATAATTTAAGGATATACAAAAAAAAAAAATTTTAATTTCTTTTGAAAATAATTTTACAATAATGTATATAAAAATCTTTACAACTATACAAAGAAGCTAAAATAAATATCATTGCCAATTCCAGATATTTTGTAACATTAGGCAAAATCATAGATACTATCATTTATTTATTTAGTTTTTACTCGTTATCTTATATTTGAATAAAAATACCTAATCATATAAAATATACCTTCCCAAATAGTCTCCCTACTCAACCTTATGTTATGCTATTTGATAAAGATTACGTCTACTATAGAATGAGCAGTGGCATATTTATAAATTTATAATGGGAGGGACACAAAAATTATTCATGTATAAGGTACCATCAAACTACTTTTTTTTCCCCATAACTTTTGTTAACACATATTTTAGATTTTTTTAAAAAAAATCTGTTATTCGCTTCGTTTTATTATGATGCGTTTTCTTTCTTTATTTATTTTTATGTCTATTATCACTTTTTCTCAGCTCTCAACGAACCGATTTCTTTCAACGATACATCAAAAGATCACAAATCGTATCTAGCCGAAGACATTGTCGTTTTAAATTGAAAAAATTTCTCTCGTTTCCTGTAAATGAGGGAAATCTCCCTCATTAGTGGGGTTAGGGAATAATTAGTATTAGACAAAAAATAAGCAGTAATTATTCGTATTCGAACCGTTGTATCACTCTGTACTTTCATTTCACATTACAACGACATCCACTCCAACACGTTACCGTGTCTTATCCTAGGTAGATCACAACAGAATATATAAAACGCAGGTGACGCTAATTTTGGACCAGTATTTTTGTAGATATTGACATATTTATATCTAATTGAGAGGAAGAATACGATTAGGAAATGTTTAGTTATAAAAATAGCAGAACCTACTCTTCATCTCTAGTCAATATTTTTTTATATTTTCCAAAATTATTAAAAGAGCGTAAGGGTTCCCCTTCAAAAAAATTCAAGATTATATTGTTTTGTACACATTTTTAAAAAAAATTATTTTTTAAAAAATGTGCAGCTAGGCAATTTTTTTATTTTAAAATATCATAGAAGAGTTTTTTTTATAATAATGAAGTCACTGATTTACATAAAAGTTACATTGAATATTAAATTAAACTTATTTTGAATTTTTGAACCAGCTTAATTTATCCTTTTTTAGCTAACAGTTCCTGTGATGTAATAAGAAATTTCTTATTCATATTATAATTATTTTACAATGTGGTTTTTATTTTGTGACTGTTATAAATTTTTCTTGGCTCTTACTGGATCAATATTTGTCAACGACACGTCAAATAATCACAAATAGTATTTAATTAAAAAAATAACCCTCAAAAATTCAAAAAAAATTTACCTTTACAATTAAAAAGTTACTAAAACCGACCAATTTCTCTATGTAAACAATTAAAATCATTAATTTCTAACGTCTTAAAAGTATTTATTGTCAAATAACGTTTGATATGATAATAGGTTTTAAGTACAAAGTTAAATAATTTTACTTTGTTATTTATTCTGTTTTTAACTATATCTGTGTGTTATACTACCATTCTATAATATTACAAATTTTTCGGTAACACGTAACTGTATAAATCTTCTTCTTCTGTTTTTACCTCACTTTTATCCCAAATAGTTGAAGTCAGCCACCCTTATCCTAAATTTCCACTTGACACAATTTCTCACATCATTGACGCACAGATCAGCTCATATCACATTTAATAACATCCCTCTATCTCTTTTTTGGTCTTCCTCTACGTCTTCTTCCATTAACATTAATTTCCATAACAGTTCTTACAGTTTCCAAATCCTCTATCTCCATAACATTACCAAACCATCTAAGTCTATATTTTCTCATCTTATCCACGCTACGTCTATATTCTCTCTTATATGCTCGTTCTTTATTCTATCTTTTATAGTCACTTCACTCATCCATCTAAGCATTCTCATCTCTACTACACTCATTATCTGCTCTATTCTCTTGTCAACTGCCTAACACTCAAAAACATGCACCATAGCTAGTCTCACTACAGCCTTATAGAACTTACCTTATAGTGTCATTGGAATTATTTTATTGCATAAGACGGCAGACGCTTCTCTCCACTTCAACCATCCGCACTTAATCCTGTGTCTTACATCCTCGTCAATACCACCACTCTTTTGCACAACTGACCCTAATTACTTAAAACTTTCCACCTCTCCAATCACAATTTTAGCTCAATTTACAAATAATTTTTTAATATTGATTTTTATTAAAATATATTTATTGATTAACCCTACGTAACCTTATAATCAAACATAAAACTAGTTTTGTATTATAAAAAATATTCAGTTTTATTTATACATTTATTGATTATACAGTCTATTGATTATATGTACTATCATACCTTAACGTTCGTTACGTTATTGTGTGAAAATCATGAAAAGAAAAACAAACTTTATTTTTGATAATTTATTTATAATAAATTAATATAAAACATAATTTAATATTTTTTATTATAAAAGAAAAATTAGTAGCATTAAATAAATTTGTTTTTTATTTTTTGTGGACTTTTGTTTATACTATAGTATGATATTCTTAAAAAAAAATGTACAAGAGATAGCTCTTTTAAATAGACATTAAATTTTTTGCAAAAAAAAAATGAGTTCGATTGTTTTTTGAGCATATTTGATTTTTGCACTTCGTGACGTTCTTCAAGCTATCCATTTATGGATAATGGTCAAACAAGTCCACAATATTTTGGCATTTATAAAAATGTCGTACTATTTTTATATGTTTTCAATACGTAAAATAACAAAAATAATATATTTGATGAAACCGGCTATCGTATAAATAAAAAATTGAACGTACTACGCTGCACACAGTAATATTATTATTGCCAAAAGAGTGTCGCCGTCCACTGCTGTCACGATAACCGGTTGGTCATTATAATGTCCCACACAATCAATGCATTTCAGTAGAAAAGGAGTGGAGTAAGACTCTCGGTAATCATGAAACCTCATTTTTATTTTCGTATAGCAAAATGTACAACAATTTACAACGCTATCTAACAAATATTTAATGAAAAACGGAAAAAAATGTTTTTCTTAATTTTTGTTTTTTAACATATTTATTTGTATAAAAGTATATTAATCAATATTAAAAATCGTAAAAAATGCTTTTATTATTTTTTATTCTAATTCTACATGCGGTAATCTATCGAATCAACCAAAATTGAATTCTACAATTATTCGTTTATAAGTTATAAATTATTGTAAAGATGGGTCATTATAATAGCCAGTGGGTCGGAAAGGGTTAATGAAAATTATACATATATATTTTTTTTTATTTAATGATAGGGATATTATTAACATGACATTTTAACAAAGATAAAATAATATGTATCTAATACTATATTGTATTAAATGAAACACAATTTTATATGATATAATTATGATCTCCTACAATTTTTCTTTAAGTAAAGGTACTGTAATAATTATAGTTTATAATCCACAAAATAATAATTTGCATGGTTGGAACAGTTATTTTTTTGTAAAACATGTAAATATTTTTTAATTAGTAAGTGTTTAAAACATATAGTATTATATTAAATTTAATGCCTCGGGGAATTTTTTTATTTATAATAGTAACTTGATTTACAAGTTATTTTTTTTATAAAACATTCATGTTTTGAAAAACAGCATGATGATTATTATTGGAATGTGAATACCTGGGTTTTCCGTCATTAAGATATAGGAACACATTTATATTAATTTTGCATGTATAAAAGTTTTTAGTGAAATTAATATTATAAATACGCCTTAATTATTATGACAGCCTCAATTAAAATAATGTATGAGCTGTAGAATGTTGTACGCAATCTATACATTAATTCCTTATAGTTTCACTGGTTACTCAGTTAAGTGTAGTTATAGGCTTGGAAATACTTTATTTATTCAATTAAGTATAATATGTTGATGTCAAACTGATATTTAAAAAATAAATTACAAGAAAAAAGTATCATTAATAATATGTTTTCAAGTATGCCATATATTTTTACTCATAACTTATACACGCGAAAAATACAAAACGTAGGTAATTCTTTGTTATACTGACAAGTGATTTATTATTATATATTATTTTTTCGTTGCAATAACTTATGAAAATACAATTATATGCAATATATAATATATAATTATATATTATTATGCATCCTTTCTCCAATAGATTGCAGTTAGGTATTATTATCTTTTTTATAAAATAGTAAAAAATAAATAAAAGGTTGAGCTAAATCATCATTAAATAATTACCAATAATAAAAACGAAGTTGTATGTAAAATTAATGTATTTGTATTTTTTTTATGGAAATAGTAGCTTTTATAATTGATATTTATGTAATAATTTTTATTATTTTTTTTTGCTAAAAAGTTGGTTGACACTATTTTAATTATTTTAACTATTGCATTTAAGGAAATTAATCGGATTGACTACAGCCTAGCTACAAATTAAAATCCGTTCGATTATTATGAAACTTATTTATTTATAATTTATATTATACCTTAACACGATGGGTATTTGTTAGGCAAATCAAGAATGTTAGTTTATATTACTTAAATTTTTTAGAACATGTTTTGATAATGAAGATTCTAATTCAAACGCAAATTTCTAATTCAAATCTTTTATGCACATAAGAGATTCTAATATACATGATTCCTAAAGCCAACATATCTCATCAATTTATTGGTAAGTTAAACGTTTTTCGTAAAATATAAGGATTAGTACATTAATTGAACAAATTTTAATTAATTTAAAAAGTTTCAATGCATTTAAAGTAATGATATAAAATTCAACTAACAATTGTATTAGAGTATTATAATTTCACTAAATATTTATTAGCTCGAGACGCTGATATATGAAATAAATTTTTGCATGTGACTTAAATATACTAGTTTCTCTTAACCATGCATATTGGAAGTTAGGGTCATTACTGTTCAATTGATCTTTGATCACAAATCCATGACTTGATGTCAGCTAACGCAACTAATCTTACAGTTTTATAACAACTGAAGGTGCTTTGAACGAAAAGAATTATGATAATAATTGTAACATTAAAATACTAAATAAAATAATTAATAATAGTTACATGATAGATTCATGCTTGTAACCGAATTGCCATATTAAACACACAACTATAATATAGCAATTATTTTTCATTTAAGTTTCAAATTATTAAAATTTAAAATTATTAAAAGAATACAAAAAAATTATAGAATTATATTTGAGAAATAAATATGTATTCTATGTTTCTATTTCTCCGTCAATCCAATTTCTAAAATTAGCTACATTAACATATGCTGCTGGTATATTTTTTATTCCACATCCTATTCCCCAAGAGACTATTCCAGCCTGTATTAACGATTTTGTACCAGTTTCACTTGGACACATTAATGGACTTCCACCATCACCCTGAAAAAATAAATGCAAATATTCATGGTATAACTCAAAGTATAGATCATACATATCTATTCTGTAATTTCATTATAATTTCCAATCATAAAATCAGGATGCTATTAATTAAGCAAATGTCATTTACGGTAATATTTAATTTATAGTTATTCAGCGAAAAATCAAACGAATATCTTTTGACAATAATATATCTCTTTCAATTACTTAAAATTAAAACAAAAATTAAATATAAATTTTCTAAAATAATTATAACTAAAGAATTTTGCTTAAATTGGTCTTCTGATAAACCTTTTAGCTGTAATCTTTTTAATACATAATAATAAATGATGTAGTATGATTGTTTTATTATATGTATGATTGCAATATATTATATTGTATATTGTGTTGATATTATAGAGTTATTGTGAATATAGAGAGTAGTTTTTTTATATTGCTAATTCGTAATAACAACTAAACCCAATAATCCATCATGATCTTTATGCCTAACATTATCATTCTCTATATCAATCTATCCAAATCGAGTAGTATTTTTTAAGTTTAATGTCGTGTTCAAGTATTGTGTGTGCACCAAAGTCATAGACGGTTTATGAATCGTCGACCAGTTGAGGAAAAATTCACTCAAAATGTTAAAATATTTTGGATAGCCATTATTTCGCTATTCAATATAGGTTATTTTGACCTATAACGGTGTAAAATTAAGGTTTAAGTTTAGTTGTTTAATCATCCAACACAACACAAAACACTAATGGTTTAACATTTATAATATATCTATTATCATTATTATGTTACAAATGTATTCTTTTATTGAAGCCCTAGAAACATATAATCTATGATTTTTCAATAATAATGTTTTATTAAATAACGATTGTTATAAATTTTATACACAAGAAGAACTATTAAGTTGATTTTGTTATGCGAGTGATTTTCATTGAATGTAAACGTTTAATGGATATTATCACAACGTAATATTTGCTTATAAAAAAAGTTACATTAAAATGTTTAAAATTTTATGTTATCAAACCATAAAATGTTATTATTAAAAAATATATTTGCAATCACAACCATTCAAATGGTTTCACTCTCTAACATGACCAAACCAGTTTGCAATCTAATTTATTATTATATGTGTGTTAATAAAAATTAGTTACTATTGAATATAAAAAAGAAATTATACTTCTATCCTTAGTATCTCAATAGTGAATAAGTTAAAATATTTTTAATTTCTTTAATCATATTTTTAATCATTCCCTATACATACTTTACATGTATCTTGTTCTCCTTCGCCTCCAGCACAAATGAAACTTTCGTGCAAATTGAATTTATAGCCTAATCTAGTTTGCCTTAGTCGATCTTCACATAAATCTCTCGGAACAATTGGTACCTCAATTTTTTTCATTTTACTTATCTTACGTTTATCTGTTTCTCCTAAAATTATAATATGATTATCATATAAAACTTAGCGTCTGTTAAATAATAATAATACTAAAACTATGTCTTATATAATTTTAAAGCCTAAAAGAAGGTATCTTATAATCTTTTTTTTTTAATATTATTTAGTAAAGTTATATAGAGTATTCAGTAAGTAAGGAAACGGGTTTCTATTGTTCTCATTGTTCGTAACAACTGATTTGTTTCCTTACTTACTGAACACTCTGTATAATAATTTAATCACCCCATCCACTTGAATAGCATCTAATATAATCAAATATTTGATCTTGTTTGGGCAAACACATAATTTGAACATTTTCTTGTAAAGTAAAAGGTTCATCAGTAAATATTAAAGCTATATCATTATGTAATCCTCCTGAGTAGTATTTGTGATGAATAACAACTTTAGAAATGTGTCGATCTTGATGCAAGTACAATTCTTTTTCTGTATTTAGATCCCAATCTCCAGCTCGTACAAGAATACTTTGTAAATCTTTACTAAAAAAAATAAAGAAAAAAGATATATTAATTTTATAATAACCACGATCTTAGTGTGTATTTCAAATAATGAATATTAAAATGTAATGAAAATAAAATTGAACGATAAAAGTTATTTTTTTAACCTAATTTATAAATACTATTTCTTACTTGATAATGCAATGAGCTGCTGTCAAAATGACGTTTTCTTTTATTAATGATCCTCCACATTGATATTTTAACGACTTCTTCCAATTTTGAAGTATTTCTTCTACATAAATAACAATAGTAGATGGAAATTCGCCATATCTTGCTGTATAATCAGTAGCACCACCTAATCCTATTCCAAATCCATATTCATTCCATATACCACATATTTTTGATTTATAATGTGTATCATGCTCTTTTTTGAAATCAAATTCTTCTTTGTTTGAATTTTCATATTTATTCTCCGAGTAAATTTCAGTAGAGTGTATATTGTGATTCCACTTTTTGGTTGATTGATCCGATAAGTCAAATGGATCGTAAGTTGTACTAGCTTCATAGGATTGTTTCATCTGTTTATTTTCACCGATTAAAATAGTATCGTCACAGCAAATTTCTAATGATTTCAAACATTTCTTTGGTTTTGCTTGATATTTTCTAAAATAAATTATTTTCCAAAGTGATTGTTTCGTTCTGAATTAACTTTGTATATTTTGGATCATAAAATACAAGTTCATCATGTATTCATTATAAACATATTTTATTTTTGTTTTTAAAGTTGTCTGTTTAAAAATAGACAGTGTACAAATCTAAGATAAGATATAATTTATTTTTCATGTATTTTATTTTTTCGTGATTATAAATATTTTACACATAATAGCTAGGTGTAGTAAAATTAAAAGATGTATAAGTTTACAAGCAATCTTTTATAATTTTTATTTCTAAAAAAAAAAAAAATACTGACATAACTTTCAATGGTTTTTTATATATATATATATATACATTAATTTCTGAGGTTCTGTTAATGGGCGTTTTCCTTATCATGATGTTAATGTCCTTATAATTAAATTTGTTATTATCATTATTTATATTACTATGTTTATTGAAAGATATTAATATTATTAAAAAAAAAATTTTTTTACATGAAATTTATCCAAACCATTTATATAGAAATTTTCCTAATTATAAGAATACTAATCAATAGATTAGATAAAATATATATAATAAATATAAATCTAATAATAACAATAATGTATAATCACCCATCTGCATCCGTAACGTCAAATGGAGTCGTTGATAAAACAAATGTTTTACATAAATGAAAAGGAGTACAAACACAATCGTTTTTAATACGTGATGATGCTGGGTTTAATATGATTGATGGAAATTTATGACCATCATCTAAAGGAAGCAATGGTGTTAAATATTCTCGAGCAGATTTTTGAAATTCATACGCGTTTATAAATAGAATAAAATAAAATGCAAAAACGAAAGATTTCATGTTTCTCAATCTTGTGCCATAAAATTCTATAAGAACAAATATAAAATTAAATTAAGTCTAGATGTTTAAATTATCAAAAAGTATTTTTTAATGCCTGAAAATTGGATGAATATGAAAATAAATGGTGTCTGCAAAAGAAGGGTTAATTTAAGTCACATGACAAAATTAATTAATGTTATTTGGTGAAATTATAATTAAAATGGTCCTTGATTATAATTTTTGTTGTTTTCTAAAATATTAAAAATCTTTACTTAACACTTTTCCTGCAGATACAATCTGTTAGAATTGTTTAAATTGTCACTAAATAAATAACAAATACAAAAATAACTTACCTTATTTTTTTGATCTATGAAAATTTGTTTGATAAGTTCATCACTAATAATTCCTGCTATACTTTTTGTTATTAATTAAATATAATCAAAAATAATTCTCTGTAATAATTTTTTTTTTTTTGTACAGTATATTTATTAAAAGTCGTATACGCACTAGCATCATTTGTTAAAGAATGGAACGATCTGAATTATAATATTTGTATTTGTATAGAATAGCCTTGAACACTTTAGCAGGTTTTTTGGCTCTATTGAATATAGTGTATTATTGATTTGTTTCAATTAAAAAATCTATTGATTTAAAAATAATTCAATATTTATATTTTAGTTATGAAAAGTATAACAACAATAGGCATTAAAATACATTAAATGAGTAAATGATGTAATTCGATTGTGATTCGATGAAATGACTTTTACGAATGTAGTTGGTAGCTATATCTAATCTATAATGACTAGAATAATAGCCCTCTTTCCGGAAAAAAGATCAAATTTTATGCCCAGGACTTCATAAATTTACAATAAGTAAGCTATTAATAGTAAAAGTTTCAATACATAGCATAAATAATAATAATAATTATAAAAATAGTAATTAATGCAATAAAAAACATGAATTAGTTATTACATTTATCATATAGTAAGATTATTCAATCTTACTATATGATAAATATGGGAAAATGGTAAAAATAAAACACTTCTCTAAAAAAAAATACAATGATATTTTCTTTCACATACTATATATATATTTTTTGTTGTTATTTTGTCTTAAGACTTTTTTTCAAGTTAGAATAACATTAAATTTTTTATTGATTTATCAGTTAATAATAATTTATAGAATCATTTTTTATAACTTAAAAAAGTGTCAACTTTATTTTTTCAAATGGCAACATATATATTTAACCAGCTTATAAAAAAGAAAATTATGTAATTAAGAAAATGACTGGTCGATAACTACTTTTGGAAATTATTCTCATTTTTATACTTAGGCGTGACGAAGAGTACGACTGGGAAATAACTAGTGATAAAAATAGTTGCACCCACTCCTCATCACCAGTGTTTCTTTAAATAGTTAATAACTTCTAAAATAGTTATTTTATAGTCATTTTCTTAATTATATCATTTTTTATTTTATAAGTTAATTAAATATGTATGTTACCATTTAAATAAATAAAGTTGATAACTTAAGTTATGATCCTAAAAAGTCATTATTAGCTGATAAATCAAGAAATATATGTAACTAAAAAAAATCAAATTTTTTTTACAATATTGTACATTGATTAATGTATATTATATATAATAATGAAATTTAATTCGAAATTTTACTTTTTAATAAAATATGAGTCATTTTCTATGAATAAAAACTAATAAAATGATGGTAGAGCAAGGATTTAAAGTATGCGTGTGTAAGGAATCAGCGTGGCTAGCAAAGTGCATTTGTAAAAATTGTTTTAAATGAATAGACTTAATTGTAAAATGGCATATTATTCAGTTACATAAAATAAACATGATTATACTTATATCGATCGAATAGTCTTTAAATATTAATAAATAACAAAAAATATTATTAATATTAATAGCAATATTATAATATATTAATATAAGATAAATCTCAAAAAATTGAAATTTGAGTTTTATATATCAACAATAATACTATTAGTCACATAATCTAATATCTATAACTAATTAAATTATTTAATTAATCTAATGAATGACATTTATAAAAGTAAAATATCTATTTAAAACACGAGTATAGCAATCTTCTATGATAATATTTTATTATCTATCCAATTTCTGAAGTAAGCTACATCTACATAAACTCCTGGTAGTTTGTTACCGCATCCTATTCCCCAAGCAACGATTCCTACTTGAACCAAATAATTTGAATCAGAATCCAATGGACACATTAATGGACTACCTCCATCGCCCTACAATAATATAAAATATCAAAAATAAAATGTTTATATTTAATTTTTCTGAAATTATAATACGTATTATTAGTTATCATTTTATAAAGTAATATAATTATGAGCACAAATATGGGGATCAAAGGGTTTAAATTTAAAAAATCATGTGTTGTACTTATAATAAAATATATCTGAGGGAAAAATAAATAGTATACATCAACAAATATTTTTCTAGTTGCACTTATGTACAAAAAGATCTTTCCTGAAATAACGATTTTTTTAAAGAATTTTTAGATTTGTATAAGACTTATTAATTTTTAATTATTTGTAAATAAGAAAATCATAACTTTACAATGAAACAAAATACGTTATATTTAGTTATCATAATAACTTAGACCTAACGTTAAAATGCCATTTTAAGAATATGATGATATCTTATATAAAAAAAATATAATATTATCACCGAAAGTTGTTTAACTTTTACAAAACCGAACTCGCACAACTATAAATAATAAGTATTTCAATATTAAAATGTAATTTAAAATAAAATTTATCTTACTTTGCAGGTGTCTTTTCCTTCTTCACCTCCTGCACAAATAAAACTTTGATGGAGCATAAATCTTGGACCAAGTCTGGATTGTCTTAAGGTACTCTCACAAGTATCTCTTGGTATAATAGGGAGTTCAACTTTTTTAAGTATACTGACTTGATAATGTCCAACTTCACCTAAATAAATATTATAAAAACAAATGTTTTTAAATAATATCTCAATTATACAAATGAGATATTTACTTTTTACACCTTCTGGTGTGTTTTTAGTGATTGTATAGTTATTATATATGACCTCTTTACCCCATCCACTAGAATAACACAGTGAAAAATCAAACTTTTGATCTTGTTCTGGTAAGCATATGGTTTGAATGTTATCTTGTAGATTAAAAGGTTCTTCTATAAATAATAAAGCTACATCAAAATGAAGTCCTCCCGCATAGTACTTTTCGTGAATAACGATTTTAGATACTCGGCGGTCTTGGTGGTCAAGAAGTTCTTTTTCTGTTTGTAAATCCCATTCGCCTGCTCTTACCACTAAATTCGAAGGATCTTTTCTAAAAAAAAATATGAATTAAAAAAAAATTCTCTAACTGTTTTAAGGCTTTTAGTGTCAAAATAGAAAAAAAATTACTATTGTAATCAGTTATTTTTTTATTTTTTATTATTTAAGGTTCTTGAGTTATAGTATTTTAATAATTATTCAGTCACAAATCATATTAATTAAAAAAAAAAATTGTAAGTTTTATTTATTCATCTCAAAGAAATAATTTTTAAAAGTCTGCTTTACTCTTAGATCAATATGAATACAGCCATATTTAGCACCCTGTACTAGAATTATTTTGCTGCCCTATAAATAAAATGTATGACCTATTTTCATGAAGTAATGAACAACAAAAAAAAAATGAAACAAAATTTTTTTCAACTTATATAATTATTAAGTCGGTTTACTTAGGTTGGTTGGGAACGTAAATAGTTAATAACTTCTAAAATACTGGTCCAAAAGTTATATCGACCAGTCATTTTCTTAATTATATCATTTTTTATTCTATAAGTTGATTAAATATGTATGTTACCATTTAAATAAATAAAGTTGATAACTTAAATTATGATCCTAAAAAGTCATTAGCTGATAAATCAAGAAATATATGTAACTAAAAGAAATCAAATTTTTTTTACAATATTGTATTTATTTTGTGAATAATCGAGTGGTTTGTGATAAACCAATCACCCTGTAGTATTCAAATTAATAGAAAAATATTTAAATTCAAATTTCTATGTTATTTACTTTATTACGCAATGAGCGGCTGTCAAAACAACATTTGGCTTTATCAAAGATCCGCCACATTTATATAATCTTTTTGCATCACCTGATTGAGGTACAACTTCTTCAAGAATTGCAATCATTGATGGAAATTCGCCAAAATTGGACTCACCATTTATCGCATTAACAATTCTAAAACCTACTCCAGCTTTATTCCAACTACCACATTCAAGCTTTTTAGCAGGTTCTGGTTCAGGAATAATTGTGGAAACATAGCCAATTGATACTTTATTTTCTTCATTAGAAGTTGTGTCTCTATAATCTGATGTACTTGTATGTGATTCAGGTTCATAACTTGTTGGTTGGTATTCGTTAGAGTGTATAGTTGATGGCTCAAAATTTGACGTGGTTTCAGAATTAATAGTACTTACAGAGGTAATTTCTTGTTTTGGTAAAGAATTATGGGGTACAACCGAAAAACTCTCTTCTACTGAATTAGGAGTTGTGATGACTAAAAGATTTGTATCGTTACAACACACATCTAAATAACTGTGACAAGGTCCAATATTTATCCTAAAATGTACATCAAATTAAAAAAAAATAGTTGAAATATTTGACTCTTCAATTCTTGTACCAATAAGTTATTTCACTAAAATTTTCTTAATATAAATATTTCATAAATAAATCATATTTACCTGATATCAATACTTGAAAAGCCATCAGGATCAGATTCGTAAGTCTTACATAAATTAAATGGCGTGCAAAAGCAACCTTGACCATCATGAACGATAGTGTTGTTATCAAATTGATCTACAGGCACAGTAATATCATTTTCACTGGATGATGTAAAACTTGAAGCTACAGTATCTACGAAAGATTGAAACAAATTTTGTCCATTTGCTGGTATAGCATTTAAAACAGAATTAAGTATGAAAATATACAAAACTGTTATATCCCTATTTGAAAAATTCTAAAAAAAAAAAAAAAATAATAATAACTATAATAATTATAACACAATAAACATCAACTTTAATTTATTAAATAAGGAAATATATTTATGAAACCAAAAGATTAAAAAAATTATATAATTTTCATACAGTTCTTTAGTACTCTATTTCTTATACTAATACAATCGTATTCATCAAATTTTACCATAATTGTGTAGTTCAAACAAAATTTGAAATTGAATTTGGCAGCAAAAATTTGAATAGTTACAGTCGCAAACACAATTTATAGCAGTCTCCTTACTTTTTCAAACTGAACTCTACAGATATCACTGTGTACTATATAAATTTTTCCATATTTTAATGACCTCGGATTAACATATCAGGTTCTTGATAAAATAAAGTATAAAATATGTATCGTATTTAATTTTTTTATGAGTTACAACAAATATACCTATATTTATTTTATTTTATTAACGGTTGATGTCTAAAACCGTTAGTCTTTTTAATTACACAGACTTCAAACTAAAATCATAATTTAATTTACCTAAACTTCATTTTAATTATTTGAATAACAAAACTTAATGTTTGGTTATATTTGTACGTTTAAAAATAAAATGAAATAATAATTTGTTTTAGCTTCCACACGAAGTTAAGAAAGTATTAATTTGATTATAATGTATGTTTATTTTTGTTTGTTACCACAAGTTATCAGATTTTACTAAATCGATTTTGTTTAATAATACGTTAATATCATACAAATCCTATCTTTTTAAAAGCATTACCCTTAAAATTTAAAGAAATAAACTTCGTTCTATGAGGAACGAAGAAAGATTTCCCGCATTTAAGAGAATGGAGGGAATTAAAAATTAAAATTTTTGAAATCGGTAAATTTCTTAACTTTTTTTTTCTTAAAACTACAATTACATTTAAACAAAATAAGTGCATTAACACGAATTTCTTAATAAATACTAACTGTATGGTATTTTTATTAGGCACATTTTTTTTTTAATCGGATGCTATACCTGCCCACAGGGTATTCAAAATAGCAAGATTTGCATGAAAAGTTAATTTTTACTAATTAAATTTTGAAAAAATTCCCTAAATTCTGATACCTATATCTAAAACTAAGATATATCTAAAACTAAATGNAGATTTGCATGAAAAGTTAATTTTTACTAATTAAATTTTGAAAAAATTCCCTAAATTCTGATACCTATAAGTATATCTAAAACTAAATTTAATGTGAATTCATTAAATAAATTTGTTTGATTAAAGAAATGTAGCAAAGGGTAAAGAATTATTCCTATAAAAATTCATATTAAAATAATTTTGAAAACATCATGAAAATTTCCATTTGAAAAGTAATTAAAAACTTAACAAAGTAATTAATGTTATCATTGATAATATTAATGATGATAATATTAATATTATAATTATATATATATAGTCGTTTGTCATTTATTTTTAATGGGCTACAAATATTTTTTTGACTATTGGTGTCCACAGTATTAATTTTTGGTAAATCAGTACTAATACACTCATAATATTTTATGAATACGTTACAAATTTGCACTGTTATTTAAAATTTAAATTAGTACATCGTAAGATAATATTTTATTAAAGCATAAATACATCAATTTAATGCAATAAATCTTAGCTTATACGCGGGAAAAACACTGAACGTCATTCTATAGTTCCTGGTCTTCTATTTTGTNTTAATGATGATAATATTAATATTATAATTATATATATATAGTCGTTTGTCATTTATTTTTAATGGGCTACAAATATTTTTTTGACTATTGGTGTACACAGTATTAATTTTTGGTAAATCAGTATTAATACACTCATAATATTTTATCAATACGATACAAATTTGCACTGTTATTTAAAATTTAAATTAGTACATCGTAAGATAATATTTTATTAAAGCATAAATACATCAATTTAATGCAATAAATCTTAGCTTATACGCGGGAAAAACACTGAACGTCATTCTATAGTTCCTGGTCTTCTATTTTGTTTATATCAAGGCCAAAAACTAATAAAATGTTTCTTTTTTAGGTAATTTATGCAATTTCCTTTTCTTTTTCTTAATTTTTTTAAATTATTTTAGAAAACAATATATTTTGTATCATAGTTTTAAAATTGATACTATACATATGTTTAATTAGTATTAAAAAAGTTATTTTTATAGTAAAATAAGGCTAAAAATGTTTAAAGTCGAGAATGAAGCACTTCCTACCCTTATACGAGTATAAGTTGTTAATAAAATTTAAGTATAATATTATATTATTGCATTCAGTAGCTATTTTCACCACGAAGGCAAGTCCAGAGGTCAAATTTTTTTTTTCAAATTAAAGTATATTACATTAGCTTTAATTTAAGATATATATAAAAGTGTCAGACCATCCGGAACATTTTCAAAAGTTAAGTTGAAAAAGTTAATTTTTTGTGAAAAAGTTGTCATTTTAAATCCCCTCCTTTGGGCAGGTTAAGTGTCAAATTTACAAAAAATATATACCAAATGATAGGTAAAGACATCAAGCATCTATAAAAAAAAAAATTATATTGATATGTTCATTTTTGAAAAAGTTACGGCAGTTTTTAGTAAAAAAAATTGAAAAAATTTCGAAAATTAGCGATTTTTAAATTTGTAATTTTTTTTTGGAGGTTTCCCCCATTTACGGGGAACGAGAGAAATTTTTTCAATTTTTAAGGGTAATGTCTTCGACTAGATACGATTTGTGATCTTCTGACGTGTCGTTGAAAAAAATTAGTTCGGTGAGAGCTGAGAAAAAGTTGTAACAGACACAAAAAAAACACATCATAGTAAAACCAATACCTTCTCAGCTTCGCATCGAAGCTAAAAGAGTCCCGAAAAGGTACATTAATATAATAGAAGATATGTATTATGGCACTTATACCAGGGTAAAATACGTAGGAGGATTATCAGAAGATTTTCGGGTAAGATAAGGAGTGCACTAAGGTTCTGCTTTAAGCCCTTACTTATTCTCTATAGTGATGAATGAAATTACTAGAGAAATACAAGGAGAGGTTTCGTGGTGCATGTTGCTTTCTGATGTTAAAGTGTTAATAGGAGAAAATAGAGAGAAAATTAATCAAAGGCTAGAGGTGTTAAGATGAAAGAAAATAGACTTAGATGGTTTAGTAATGTTATGAGGAGAGAAGAATCGGAAGCACTAAGAACAGTTATAGAAATGAATGTTAAAGAAAGAAGAGGTAAAGGAAGACCAAAAAAGAGATGGAAGGATACTATTGAGCACGATATGAGAAAAGGTGATATGGGAGATCGTGTCAAGTGGAAGTTTAGGATAAGGATAGCTGACCCCAAGTACTTGAGATTAAGGCGAGGAAGAAGAATATATATACCTCAAAATTTATCAAGGCAACTAGATCTGGTTGAGTAAGTTGTATAGTTACCATTTGAAAAAAAATCAACACATGGAGCGCTAGTTAGTTTACTGATTAGCATGAAGTACCAAATATAAAAAGATTCATTTCTTGTTTTACCTTTTTTAATAATAAAACGAAATATTTTTACTAAAGATCAAATAAAAATAAAATCAACAATCTTCTTCTTCGCGTTAATCCTAATTACTTGGAGTCGGCCATCGTTATCCTAAACTTCCACTTGATACGATCTCCCACATCATTTGTCCTTATATCACATTCAATAACATCCCTCTATCTCATTTTTGGTCTTCCTCTACCTCTTCTTCCATTAACATTAATTTCCATAACAGTTCTTACAGTTTCCAAATCCTCTATCTTCATAACATTACCAAACCATCTAAGTCTATTTTTTCTCATCTTATCCACCATTGACGCTACGTCTATATTCTCTCTTATATGCTCGTTCCTTATTCTATCTTTTCTAGTCACTCCACTCATCCATATATACATTCTCATCTCTGCTTTATTCTCTTATCAACTGCCCAAAACTCTGAACCATGCATCATAGCTAGTCGCACTGCAGCCTTATAGAACTTACCTTACCATAAACTTTCCACCTCTCCAATCACAATTTTAGCTCAATTCACAAATAATTTTTTAATATTGATTTTTATTAAAATATATTCATTGATTATCCCTACGTAACCTTATAATCAAACATAAAACTAATTTTAGCTTCGATGTGAAGCTGAAAAGGTATTGGTTTTACTAAGATGTGTTTTTTTTTTTTTATTTATTTTTTTGTGTCTGTTACCACTTTTTCTCAGCTCTCACCGAATCGATTTCTTTCGATGATACGTCAAAAGATCACAAATCGTATATAGTCGAAGACATTGCCCTCAAAAATTGAAAAAAATTCCCTCGTTCCCCGTAAATGGNAGTCGAAGACATTACCCTTAAAAATTGAAAAAAATTCCCTCGTTCCCCGTAAAAGGGGGAAACCTCCAAAAAAATTACAAATTTAAAAATCGCTAATTTTCGAAATTTTTTCAATTTTTTTTACTTAAAATAGCCATAACTTTTTTAAAAATAACCGAATCAATATAATTCTTTTTTTTTTATAGATGCATGATGTCTTTACCTATCATTTTATATACTTTTTTTATAAATCTGACCCTTTATCTGCCCACGAGGGGAGATTTAAAATGACAACTTTTTCACAAAAAATTTACTTTTACACTTAACTTTTGAAAGTGTTCCGGAATGTCTGACACTTTTATATATATCTTAAATTAAAGGTAATGTAATTTACTTTATTATGAAAAAAAAAATTTCGGATTTTATTTTGTCTTCACAGTGAAAATGGCTACCAAATGCTATTTTTGTGTGAAAATTCTCGATTTTATTTTTTACATTTTTAACTTTATAATGCTATAACTTTTTGAAAAATGTATGGATCAACATAATTTTTCTATGAGAAATACTATTTTTTAATAATCCCTTTTTCATTCGACATACTTTATCTTAATCAGGATATTAATAAGGAACTAGCAGATTATGTAGCTTTTGGAATAATCCACCAATTTTTTAAAATTAAACACTATCTAAAGATTTGCANTTAAAAAAACAGTATGTCGAATGAAAGATCTATATAAATACTACTTCTCATAAAAAAATTGTAATGATCCATACATTTTTCAAAAAGTTATAGCATAATAAAAATAAAAATCGAAAATACAAAATACAAAATCGAAAAATTTCACACAAAAATAGCATTTGGTAGCCATTTTCACCATGAAGATAAGATAAAGTCCGAAATTTTTTTTTTTCATAATAAAGCATATTACATTAGCTTTAATTTAAGATATATATAAAAGTGTCAGACCTTCCGGAACATTTTCAAAATTTAAGTTAAAAAAATTAATTTTTTGTGAAAAAGTTGTCATTTTAAATCCCCCCTTGTGGGCAGGTTAAGGGTTAAATTTATGAAAAAAATATACCAAATGAAAGGTAATGATATTATGCATCTATATAAAAAAGAATTATATTGATATGTTCATTTTTGAAAAAGTTACGGCAGTTTTTAGTAAAAAAAATTGAAAAAATTTCGAAAATTAGCGATTTTTAAATTTGTAATTTTTTTGGAGGTTTCCCCCATTTACGGGGAACGAGGGAATTTTTTTCAATTTTTAAGGGTAATGTCTTCGACTAGATACGATTTGTGATCTTTTGACGTATTATTGAAAGAAATCGGTTCGGTGAGAGCTGAGAAAAAGTGGTAACAGACACAAAAAAAAAATAAATGAAAAAACACATCTTAGTAAAACCAATACCTTCTCAGCTTCGCATCGAAGCTAAAACGGTTGCACAGTGTGGACGTGGCTTAGTTGGGACATGTTTAGATGATATCTGACAGTGATTAAAATCACTGTTATAAGANGACAGTGATTAAAATCGCTGTTATAAGAAACGCTCCGATACAAATCTGTAGATATGTTTAATTTTAATTAAATTGGTGGATTATTCCAAAAATAAAATAACTACTATTTCCTTCATTATTCCTAATTAGCAATTCTATGATTTATAAATATAATATATGAATAAATATCTATTATAGCAATTTAACGTAATATTAAATTTATATTTAATAATTTAGTATTTTATGCGTTTATGGAGAAATTATAAAAAATTATAAAGTAGTTATTACTTTTATCAGAAGATAATTGTTTGTTAATTATAAATAAATGGTCTACAAGGAATTTTCATCAGAGACCAAAATATACTTTTTCTAAACCTATTTTTGCGCCTATTTTAAATCTGTAATTAAAGTTTTGCATATTGACTAAATAATAACAAAATCCTTTTTTTATTAATATAACTAATATTTATGTTACGTATGAATAATCAATAAATATATTTGAATTAAAAAAAATATGTAACAAGCATAATTTTTTACGTGCAGTATATAATATATAAATGTAGATAGTAATATAATCTATATCTGTAAATTCATAACGTAACAAAAAATCCCTGATTTTCATTGTAACAAACTGAATAAGTCATAGAAGAAAATAAAAAAGGTTTGGTTATCAATTCATCTATTGACAACATGATATACAAAAAAATGATATATTTTCTTGATTTCTGTGCTCTATTTATTTATTTTTCATTATCTATAAACGTTTATTGATATAATTATTATAAAATCAATCAAGTTTACATATTGTTTTGTTTAAAACAAAATATTTTATCATACCCTATAACAATTGACAGATCATTACCAAACTCTATTAACTTCCAATATTATATATTTTGTTCGCATTTGAATATTATTTTCATTTTGTATATTTGTTTGTATTTTCAGTTGAATATTTATTTAATTTTAACTCGTCTTTATGATTTGTTCTGTTGTATAACTTGTTTTCAATCATAACAATTAGATTTGTTATCTAGATAACTTCATTATCCTGTCAATAATTAATTTGGTGGTTAAGTGTAAATTGGTTTATTTATTTGTTAAGATATATCCCAATAAAATAACATTAAAACAGCATTTTTCATTTGACATACTAGTTTTTTATGTATTGTATTTTTTATTTACTTCCCATCCAAATATCCTTTAACAAACTTTGCTTAAAAAACATTTATTTTTTGGGTTTACATGATATTGCATTGTCTATAACGATCAAATCTATTTTTTAAGTTATAAATATTTTTAGAAAAATACTTAAATTGTTTTTTAATTTCTTAATAATTTTTTTTTTATATAAAGTAATTTTTATTAATGACACGTCAGTAAAGTTTAGCCAATATTGTAAATTAGATTTATGCCAGAAATGTCAATATTGAACTTAATAAAGTAAAATTCGATAATTTATGTGGTATTCAAGTAATAACAGTCAATTATTTCTATTTATTTATGTTGTAATATGAATAATAGATAAAATATTTGCTTAAAATTGATTTTTTTTAAATCACTATTAAAAGCTCTAAAAACGGAAAGAAAATATGAATATTGGTGTAGTAAATAGGTGAATAACGTCGATTTTAGTATAATACAAAATTTACAATAGTAGTAATCAATTTTTGAATTCTCAATAAGTATAATAATGTCATATCAAAGGGAAATGCAGGGTGAGCAAATTAATAATGGTAGGAAAAAGAATATAAAAGGGAAATATGAAAAGTATAGTGGCACTGGACGTTTTGATGAAGAAACGTCGAGTTACGGGTCAGGATGTTTGATGCCAGTAACTTTGTATTTTGTACGATTTAATTTATTTTGTGTTACATTTTTATAATAAATTTTAACTTTGAGTTTATTACGTTTCTTAAATAAAATAGCTATTCGAAAATTTGCACTTAGCTTAAATATTTTATATCCATCGTGCTGTTAAAATTGTGTGTGTGTGCAGCAAGAGTCGAGGTTGGATCTTGAATGCTGGTCCTTTAGTTGATCTTAATAATTAGTGTGCATGTAGGCTAATTTTTGGGCTTAACCGTTCTTTAGTAGGTATTGTGAAAAGGTAGTTGTGCTGGTGGCTGACGAGGAGCCACCCTTCAGTCTGCTACTTTTGAGCTTGACCGAGCTAATGGGTCTAAACTCTATCCCTTTAGTAGTTCACTAATTGGAGGGATTGGGGCTAACCAGTGTATCCAACGGGAGGACTCGAAAAGAGATTAAAACTCGTCGTCAAAAACAGTAGTTAATTTGTGTACTACTTTTCTGTCTACGTCGGGGCACTACCGACGTAGACATTGGTTATTTTTGTATTTTTGTTTTTGTATTTTTTGTTTTTTAAGTATTTTTGTTTAACTATATTATACAATAAGGAATATATATAGGGATTAAAAATAAGACACTTATTTTTTCAGAAATAATTGAAAATGTTTAAGTTTTGTAAAAAAATTAATTGTTTACACTATTAATAAAAATTGTATAATAATATGTAATTTAATAATTTTTTTCATCCCTGCGGGGATAAAAACTTTAACATTAAATTTATTTAATAAAAACCCATATTTTTACCTTGATTATATGATAGAAAAAAAAACTTGCTAACAATTTTGTTCTCATCATTTTTTTTATCCGATCAACCGATAAACACGGAACATATTACGGTTCATTCTAATATTTAGTTGCAAGTGCAATTATCAAAAATATCGATAATCAATTTAACACGATATTCAATATTGCGATAAAATATCTAAAAAATCTAAACGATATCGAAGAATGTTACTAAATATACATTCATTTATTTCTACTGTGCATTAAATTATAAACATTGTTATCATTTTTTTATAATTTTGTTAAATACTTGTTTTGTTTTTAATAGTTTTATCTACTAACTAAAATTTAGTAATTAAATAGTTTCTAAATCAAACATTTTTCGTTTCATAAATATTTATTTATTATTCAAACATTATATTGATTTGAATAATTCTAAATGGAGGGCTTTTAAAAAGTCGAGTTGCACCACTAATTATATTACCAATTAAAAAGTAGTTATTTTTCTAATAATAAAGATTTATAAAAATCTATGTTATTACACTAAACTATCTATAATTTTTCAAAATGAATTTTGAATAAATTACATAAAGAAAAAATGTTATGCATTTATTTGATGATTTAAATGTTTACGATTGCGTACAATTCCAATTCTAAGAGTATGAAATATAAAATTTGGTGGTGTCTCATAACTTTGAATTGTATTGTATAATAAAATGTAGAACTTTAATAGAATGTATTACTCCAATAAATGAAAAGAGCGAATGTATGATCATTAGGCATTGTTCATTTCTTTATGTGTTAGCCATAAAACATTCAGAGAGTACATTTGTAAACAATTTTTTATGTAGTTTTAAAAATAAAGTTCCAAAAGTTTCCTGTCCTTTAGAAAAGGAAATCACAAATGTTAGCCAATAATAATTATTATATTATTGATTTTTAATGAATACGTTTTTTTATTTATATGAAGTTACATTTGATAACATTTCAGGTATAGATGTGTCTTTGGATAATGTAATAAAAAAAAATAGGAATAAACAAACGTTTTGGTGAATATAATTTAAATTATAAATCTACAATTGTTGGTATAAACATTACTATAATAAAACAAAAATCTCCTTCCAAAAGTCAATTTAAAACTTAACCATTGGTATCGTCACAGAACATTTGTGGAATCTAAACTATAAATAAAATATTAGCGGGTAAACCAGCTATCAATTTATGTTCACAAAGTTTTTAAATTTAATTTATTTCGGATATTTGATAAAGTATCAATTGCTATAGAAATGTCATGTCATGATTTTATATGATTTTTTAATCATCATAATTTTTAAGATTTAAAGAAATAGGTTAAACAGATCATATTGTCCAAAATTTCGCACCAATTTTTTTAATTTATTTAAAACCAAAATCTATCATCAATGAAAAAAATTTTTTTTTAATATGTTATTCAGTTTTTACTAAATAATATTGAGTAATAAACATTTTTACTTAAATGATAATAAATTATTTGTTATCATTTCCAAAACAACATATGCTGAAAAGTTCTAATAAATACGTATTTGAAATTTGCACAAAAAATAATAAAAGTATAATGAAAAGTTTATTTTCATTACTGATTTTTAAAACAAAGTCTTATTTTAACTCAAAGAAATGCATTGGATGAAGGCCAAACTATTTTTTCTATCCATGGTAAGTAATGCAAAATTTTAGTGTATACTCCTGCTTTTTCTTTATCTGCACAAAATTCTCCAAAAGAAGTTATTCCGACTTGAACGTACATTTGCTTATATTTAGGATGAACAATTTGTAATGGACCTCCAGAGTCACCCTGTCATCATTTACAAAAGTATTCTTCACTTTAAATCTAATACGATTTTAAAATAAATTATAATAGTACTTGACAAGTATCTTTTTCTTCAGTTTCTGATCCAGCACATAATTGGCTTTCATTATGTATTCCAATATTGAGTAATTTGGTTATACCATAACTTGCCTTACATTTGTCCATTGATATTAAATCCAAATCAACTTTTTGCAAATGGGAGCTTGGTGGGCCACCTAAAAATAGACCATATGTTTTTTATTTATTTATAAAGTTGTATAATTAGTTATGAACTATTCTATTATTCAATATATTTTCTGTAAATTTTTTCAAATATCTACTTTTTAATTTTTAATAAAAATTTAAAATTTTACGGAAAAAAAGTGTTTCTCTAATTGATTGTTTTATTTTTCTAAGTTATTATAAAAATATAGCTGTAGATAAAATGTTTTTAATAAGAACTTAATTTTCAATCTGTCACTGATGTTTATTACGAAGGTTTGAGACCTTATGCATTGTTTGTATTTGTAAAAACTAAAATATGTATATTAATTAGAAAATTAGTTTGGTGGCGTGGGGGATTATACCCTCAAAAATAAAAAATGTTCTCATTATACTGTTCAATGGTGAAGTTTCATGGAGTTGAATGTCTCGGAAGTGATTCAAACAAATGATATGAATGCGTAAAGTCTCAAACCTTATTAAATAGGGTATGAGACTTTTAGGGTTAAATAAATTTTATTACTGCAAATATCAGGTGAGTTTGTTTGAGTATTTCTCATATCTTAAAAGTCAGACAGAAATTGTTCTAATCATATAAGAAATTTACAGATTAATTTAAGACTCTTTTAACGTTAATCTTTTTTCGAAAATAGGGTAATAAACAGATTTATTATTACAAATTAAATTCTAATTTATTGGAATAGTATTAATAATTGCATCTTTAAAATTTTTATATTTAAATAATATTAAAAACCAACCTCATCAATTAAATTTTGAAAAGCTCAAAAAATTTAATAAACCCTGTAACTGAATGATATGTTTGTTCACAATGTATTTAAATGTTAATATAAAAGTTTTAAATGTTGATAATAAAACAATGTATAAGAAATGAACAAAGAACTCCTCGATTTGGATATTAGAGAAGTAGAATTTAAAGTAATATTAATGTTGTTTATTTTTTAGAAATTGTTCAGTAATTGGACCAGTTACGCTATTATGCCTTTCATTTTCTTTTACTAGAAATAATTTTTCTATTTATTTATAAGAGTATTTACATTAAATATTTTTTTGTAAATTATATAGGATTGATAACCAACCAGTGGATGTCAATCCCCAGCCTGTAGCAATTAGATTTGTCATGTATAATTGATGATTTGCATTAAGACATAGTGGTAGAATATATTCTGAAAAATCAACATCTTTATCTAAGTAGAACAATGCAATATCGTTATATCTAGAAGGTGGTTTGAAATCTGGATGCACTACGCGCCGAATTATGTCATAGTTTACGGGTTGTGCATCGTCAGTATCTGATTCTATGTCAAGATCGCCAAGACGAACCCACCGAGCTGATAATCTAGAATATTTATGAAAAGATCAAGAAAGTTCTAAAATTAATTAAGTTATCAGATAATTACGAATTTAATTTTTCACAATGTGCAGCACTCAAGATCCATCTATGACTTATCAATGAACCACCACAAGACCACCTAACACTTTCTAATGTTTTTCCGTATCCAATCAATGCCTAAATTTATAAGATAAAAATTAATTAACATTTTATAGATTATTATATTATCATCACGAACCATATGAGGAAATTCCTTCGGATTTGCGTTTTTGCCGCCAACAACTGTTACATGAAAAAAATTGTTGTCAGAGTTCATTGTAACTGGATTATTTTTGTAATCACGGGAATATTGAATATACTCATTGCACTCTATAAATGTAATTTTTTAAAGAGTCAAGTTAAATCAATTATTAATTATGATCTAATACTTTCTTCGAAGATTGATTGTTTTGTTTCATATCTAGTATTAGATAGATTATCTGTTGGACAACATACCATTGGTTCTAAACCAACAAACTTGCATATCTTTGGATTTTTTCCTTGTTTAATTAGTTGATGCACTGCTGTACATTCACTAAGAATCTTACATGTTAATTTATTTCCTTTGCATTCATAATTTAACGAATCATCACCTACAAACGTCAAATTTATAGATTAACTAAATGTAATATAATTTTAGATTGTCTTATCACAGGTTGATTATTTAACTAAGAGTCACGAAATAAATAAATAATTTAACAGATAAATTATAATATTTTTACTTTTCGGAAATTAAAAGTATTTTATATTTTACAATACATTGTCAGAGTTATGTTAAACAATAAATCTGTACACTATAAAAAATAGTTTTCATAAATATACTCGCTTGTTAATTTAATAAAAATAAATTTTTTTTTTAGTTTATAATTTTCATTTAAAAAAAAAATAAAATATATTTAAAAATTGAAATTTTTATAGAACATACAAATAGATGAACCATTTTTTTTAATCTTTAGCAAAACGTGATATTAATAGTGTTTTGGGTACTTAAATGTTAAACAAAATATATTATGATGTATTAAATGTAATAATTATGAGTTCATAAAATAATTAAAAAAAATAATATGAAATTCATTACATACCTTTTTCAAAATGTATCATTTGACAAAAAATACAAGTACTAAAACAATAAAAAATTACCAATTCAAAAAATAAACTTAATCTGGTACCCATTTGGTTGCACTTTTTAAAATTATTCTTATACTATTAATTTTACAGAGAAGGTATTATTAAACACATGCCGTTTAAGTATTGTTAAGTATAGACCAATTTCTGAAATGCGATATATTTAATTAAATAATCAACACCTTCTTTGAACGTAGGTCCCCACTATTTATGAAAAGTGGAATTTCTTGAAGGTTAAGACAATAATGTTAACATTGGATTTAGTAGCAGATGAATCCACTACTGGCAAACCATTTTGCAGGTCACAATTATATGTGTTTATAAAAACTGTGATGATGTACTTATAAAATCTTTTATAATTAAATGCAAATTGAATTTCAGAATTGTTTTTATTCAATCATGTCATAGTTGAAAACTGAATAAACTACTTATAAAATGATAACTAGCGCTAGCGAGTACGGCTTCAAACTAAATTAATATCATGGATTGTTTTGAGCAACTCGCTCGCATTAAAAATTTACATTTAGTGTTCTATGTCTCTCTTGTTGAATAATTTTTTATAACCTGTTGTTGACTTGTTAAANTGAAATAATTTTTTGTAACCTGTTGTTGAGTTGTTAAAATTTTTCCTAAGGAAACTAAATAAGAAGATCTAAGATTAAAGGTTAATTGTATTTCCTACAAAATGCCTATATCATAAAGTTTTAAATAACAAAAAAAAAAATTGCCAATTATGTTTCTATTACTTACCAATTTAACTTTTTGTGAATAAATTGGGATATAATTAAAACGTTAATTGATTACACTTAAGTAATAATAATTTACAATATATACAAGATGGTCTATAATGTTTTAAAAAATCTAATAACTTATGACCTACTAATATTTTGCTTACGTTAATTTGTCTTAATTATCTAATACTATAGGACTAAAAAAAAATCACTATAATAATATCGAAAATAATATTTATTTAATTATTTAGAGTAGATTAGTATAAAAATTAGTGAAATAATATTCGTTTTAAGTTGTAAATTTTGTATATTATTTTAAACTTTGTTTTCGTGTGTTTATTTTATGGCATAAAATACAGTAATAGGTATTGAGAAGAGCATACAAGAAAACGCGTTATTTATGGCTAACCATTAGGATTATAGGCATTTATTTTTATTCGTGAAAATTATTATAGTTTAAATTACAAACGCTCATTTAAACAATAAAAATTTCCCTTGAAAAATTAGATTACTGAACCTATGTTTAATTTAAAAATAAATTTTACTTCTATCTTTTTCTAATTTAGAAAGACTAACTTATGACAGAAATTTCAATCCATAACATTAAAATACAATTTCGATCTACATAGCTCCTTAAAATTTACTTTAAACAATGATATTTTTGATCTTTTTTTTAGTAATTAAAAAGATTTTAGATTTTTTAAAGCATTTTGGACCACTTTGTATATCAATACACATTAATGATTATGACGAAAATTAGTGAACGCATTATTGACTTATACTCATAAATTTTTCAAATATCAAAATTCAAAATATATACCTGTTTAAAATTATTATTACATAATTACAATATCTAAATAACATACTAAATTCCAATTAAAATAATTTTTATTTTGTACAAAAAATAATAGTCCAGTGCAAATTTGAGCCCATTGGGCTATCACCAAATAAAGATTATTTTTCTCAATAGACTGGAAAGGAATACGGATCAAGTTTTCATGATGAAATACTAGAGAAGTAAATAGATATTATTTTTTTTCAATTGATAGTTACAGAAATAGAAGATGGCTATGTTAATGCATTATTATATATATATATATAACATGTATAATAAATATTATTATAGTATAATTATGTTTTTATTTGACTTTCAAATTAAAAGAGGCAAATAATTATTTCGTATTTTTAAAAAAACTAAAAATAAAATATAATTGTAAGTATTATATCTAGGAGCTTTAAAAAACATAATTTTAAACTTTGAAAAGTTTTACATAATTCTTTTATTTTATAAAAAGGTGACACGACTTACGTCGCAAAAATGTGGTCGACACTGGTTTTGAGGGTTTCACCGCTGCTAATTTGGATGTTGCTACCGGTACTGTATTGTTGCTGCTACTGTGCTGTTGCTGCCGTTATTGTTGTTGACGCTACTGTGTTGTTTCTGCTGTTATTGTTGTTGCCGCTACTTTGTTGTTAAAAACGATGTCTCCTCCATGTTTGATGCTAAGGGTGGTGGTGTCAGCCTTTATTCTCGGGCTGGCACTAGTAAAGTGAGTGATGTGTATTCAATAAGCGTTGTGCGTCCCACTGTGTCATTAAAACGTAGCGCAGTTTTTCACTATCTGTGATGATTGTTCGCGCGTGTGTGGGTCGCCTGCTATAACTAGTGTTGATAGATCTACATCGGGTAGCGTGTGTCGAGTACTCGCTTTCCAATAAGCTGTAGTGCGTCGCGTCGCGCCCAAGTGAATTGTACCTGCAGCGTAGTCCCAGGAGACTTCCTGTTCTGTTAGAAAGTCGTGTCCCAGAAGTACGTCACAGTACAGATTCCCTATTATAACAGCTGTGAACTTTACTTGTAGATCCGCAATTTTTGTTATAAAGGTAGCTGTGCCGGCCGTGTCTGTTGTGTGGCCGTCAGCTAACCTAACTGGGGGTGTTTGTCCGTTGTGCACAATTCCAAATTTGTGAGCTGTTGCTCGAGTGGTATACGATTTTTGCGCTCGAGAGTCAAGTAAGGCCGTCACAAAGCCGTTGTCAAATTCCAGCTCCACAGCGGGAGTAGTAATTTTACGCGGGCGTGTTTGTGCGGCAATACTCAGGTGGTTAGCGGTTCGAACGGGGAGCGTTGAAACGGTTTGTTCGCCGGCAGTATTAATTGCCATAAGCGGGTAGGCCGTTCCTGCCGTATTCCCCTCCCCCACGGTGGCCAACATATCGTTGGCCCGACTCGCGCTATAGTCGTTACCTATTACGTCTACGAACGTGTGACAAGTATTTTGAATAATCTTATGGTCCTCATTGTGGATGAGGGGTGTGGTGGTGGTGAAGTGTGGTGCTACAGCGTGCCCACTATAATGACAGTGGGGCTGTAGGGGTGTTGGTGAAGTTTTTGTGAAAGTACTGTGGTTGATAGTAAGATTATTTAAAATAGTGTCATTTTGATCGAAGAAAGCGCATCCGNTGTGATAGTAGTGTGGTTGATAGTAAGGTTATTTAAAATAGTGTCATTTTGATCGAAGAAAGCGCATCCGTTTTTGTTACCGACGATGATTGACCGTGCGATTTGGTCGGCGCGCTGATTAGTTCGATATTGTTTTGAGCGGAATTGTGTTTGTTTGCAAAACTCGGGTGGTATATGACTTTTGCGCTTGTGAGTCAAGCAATGCCGTCACAAAACCGTTGTAAAATTCAAGTTCCACAGCGGGAGTTGTAATTTTACGCGGGCGTGTTTGTTTGGCAAAACTCGGGTGGTTTACGGTTCGAACGGGGAGCGTCTGAACGGTTTGTCCGCCGGCGGTGTCAATCGCCATAAGCGGGTAGGCCGTCCGGCTGGTATCCCCTCCCCCACGGTGGCCAACATGTCGTTGGCCCGACTCGCGCTATAGTCGTATAACACGGGGACATTTGTTTTCTCGGCCGTATGATTGATTTTTTTAAAGACCTTGAGGACCGCATTGTGCCCCTCACTGTGGGTGGGGGGTGCGGTGAGTGAATTTAAAGGGGCTACAGCTTGTCCTGCGTTACGAGCGAGGGGCTGTAGTCGAGGTTGAGGGCCCGGTGAATGGGCGAGGTGAAGTGGAAGGTCGTTAAAAATTTCGTCATTTTGGCCGAGAGCTATGCGCTCGATTTTGCTATCGGCGACGAACGAACTGATTGTTCGCGCTGCGCGTTGTTAAATTGCAATTTAGATTTGAATGGGATTGTGATTGTGGGCCAGCTTAACTGTCGGTGCTTTTCCAGTCATAGTGTACGTTATTGACCGTATTTTAATCGAATTAACCAAAAATGAAAAGTACAAGTGGTAGTTTGTTTTTGTTATTCGGAAATACGATATCAACAATCGCGAGAATACGCGCTTTGCGTTCGCGTATGAACGTTAACAATGCTGGCCGTTTGTATTATTATTGTTATTGCTAGATAGTGTACTAATAAAGCACTATGACAGTGAATTGTACCTGGGAATGTGATTGCAATGATGGTAATCGTAATCTTTATGATCGTGACGACACAATTAATAATACAAACGGTTTTATGGGACCCGGTTGTCAAATGTAACGATCGCTGTGGTATGATAATGTGTATGATCACCCTACCTGCCTAGCGGTTTTATCGAAACACTGAAATGGTTGTGTTCGCGGCGTTGTGCGACTCAAGGTCGTCAGTGCGCGTGTGTGTATAAATACAAAATCGCCAGAAATCCACTTTTACCGTGTTTAAAAATACACCGAAGGTGGAAATCTACTATTCGCGAGGTAGATAGTATCTAAATAACCGGGTGGGAAATCCACTGCTGTCACCAGTGAACTGTGTGATTGAAATAATTTGGAGAAAAGTGAATGTAAAGGAAACCTAGCTGTCTTATTTGAAAAATAAAAATGAAGTCAGCAACTGGTTTTCTTACCTTAATCCAATTTAAGACCGGTTGAGATCCTTACCGGGGAGCCAGTTGACACGACTTGCGTCGCAAAAATGTGGTCGACACTGGTTTTGAGGGTAGAGACCCGTGGGCCGTTTATTAAATGAGCGACAACAGATTATGTTAACAAAAATAAAACAAACCGAAAAGATAAACACAGTAATAATAATCTTCGCATAATATCGCGGCACTTTCGCTGGCGTCGACGACGCGATGTTCGGCGTAATCCTTGGACGGCAAAATGGTTAGCAGCGTTGTAGGCGACGGTGCGCGGGTGCGGTTCGGCTGTCGACGTTGTCGCTTTCACAACGGGAGGAAGACTCTCGCACCATTTGCGGCGGGTCGTCGTCGGCCGTGCGGCATTTGCTGGACTTTGCACCGTAGCGTATAACACGCGGTGTTGGTCAGCCAAATACTCATAGTAGGGCGACAGCTGATAAAGGTGGCACGAGTCGCGGGGCATCGTGTATAACGAAGCGACGCGGGCCGTGTCAAAGGTAACACGATTATTTTAACACGTGTTGTGTCATAACTTTTGGTTAAAAGTTAGCAAAAACATATTAAGTTAATGTAGTAGAATTTACATTAATTTTCGCTATTCATTTCACTATAACCATATTTATTTCTAATAATAAGTGAGAATTTTTATTTTAAATATGTTCCATTATTTTTATCACTTTAATTCTAATAGCAGTACTAGGTACCAAACACATTTTTGTTTTGGCGATTTTTCTTACTTCTAGTAAAATAGTTCATTTATATTATATATTTTTTAGTATATGTTGAAAAATGATTACAGAAACAAAAAATATTGTGAGACCTCTATTGATAATATATTGAACTCAAAATTTTACTTTAAAAGAATATTTTAAAACAGAAATTAACTGAAAAAAAATGTATTATTAATCGAACAAATTCTTAGAAAAAAATTGTTTTAGATTAACTTACTAAATATGGTAAAAATATTTGAAACCCGCAATCATTTCGATTCCCAGTTCTACTTAAAAACACTCAGTTCAAATTATTTATATTGAAACAAAAAACTAATTTAGGGTTACAGTGATCACTAAAATCATAAAAAAGCATTATAATGAATTTCATGATACGATGAAACTCTTATATTAGTATTTTTACAAAATATCAAAATTGATATGCATTATAAGAAAGTTTTTAATCAATTATATACTATTTTAACCAATTATACAAGTCAGAACTGGGCATTAACTAGTTAATAAGTTAAAGTTAAGTTAAACTTTTTTAGATTAATGGAGATATTTAGATTTTACATTAAATAGTTTAATTTAATTGTCTTTTACCTATAAATATAACTGAATATAAAACCAATTGTTATTGATTATAATTATATTTTTTTCCATTTTCATTGTTTAACTGTATAAATATTAGTTAAATAATTTTAGAAATAAATATTAATAATATTTAAAAAAAACCTAGATCTATGCGTTTTTAATTAGGCCATACAATTGGTTCAATCCAAGATATAAAATTAGAAACTCTGGTGTAAACCCCAGGGGATTCGTGAAAACCACAAATCTTTCCAAACGAAGTAATTCCTATTTGTAAATACATTCCATAGTCAAATGTAGGGTGTTTTATTTGTAGTGGACCACCTGAATCACCCTAGTTATAAAAAAATTATTAATTTTTTTTATTTTCATTTTCTGAAATTTTAAATTTATAAACCTGACAAGAGTCTTTTCCATCTTCATCTGAACCAGCACACATTTGACTTTCGTGTAGTATTCCATTAGATAATTTAGACAAACCTGAGTTGTAACTTTTATTACAATTATCAGTTGAAACTGAATTTAGTGTCACTTTTAATAAATCGTCGCTAAAAGGTCCACCTGTAATGATAAATATAAATTATGATATTTAATATAGCACTTTTTAAAACAATCATATGAATTTTAAACTATAAAATTAAATTTAAACCATTTTCAGTTTGTCCCCAGCCAATAGCCATCACTTCAAATGGTTGAATATTTGGGTCTGTATTAATACATATTGGTAAAATATATTCTGAAAATATGACATCTTTATTTAAGCGAAAAAGTCCTATATCATTGTAATGTGACTTTGATTTATCGTATTTATGATGTAAAATTCTTTCACTTATTTCATAATCAACTGGCTTTGCATCATCAGTATTTGAAGCTTGATTAAGTTCTCCAAGGCGAATCCAACGAGCTATACCTCTATCGAAAGACAATAATTTGGTTAAAATTCCTCATGGAAAGCTATAAAAGAATAATCATTACAATGCTAGAGAATTTTCACAATGGGCTGCTGTAAGAATCCATCTATTGCTAATTAGTGTGCCTCCACAAAGCCAATAAACATTTTTTAAAGAGCTTCCATATCCTACAAGAGCCTATAAATTAGTTAAATCAAATAAATTATTATAGAATACACCGACAAATTTATATTTTTACGATATGAGGAAATTCTTTAGGTTTAGCCTTAGTTCCTCCAATTATATCAACTTTATCGCCATTATTCATGTTATTGTCATCTATTGTATCAGTCCTACCATAGCTTTTAAATAGTTTTGAATACTGCAAGCACACTATAATTATTAAACATTTAATTGTAAATTAAATAGAACGAATTAAGTAGATAATTTCTACTTTCAGAAGCCTTTGAATATGATTTTGTCTTATTTTGTCGAATTAAATTATAATTATCACTTGCACTACTAACACTTGGTGGACAGCATACCACTGGTTCTAATCCAATAAATGAGCATAAACGAAGATTTTTACGATGATGGACACTAATATTTTGAGCTATTACACAATCTCCATGTTTTTGACAAATATAGCTTAAACTAGTATCTTTATATTCTTTACACACTTCTCCTAAAAATACAAAAATAATATAAATATCCAAAAATATAGGGAGTTTAGCTGTAAACTTAAAATTGTCCCGTATGTAATTTTGAAATTTTATTCAATAAAAATTCTGACTCTAAGTCTGATCTCAACTTTTTCAGAGTGTCAAATGTAATAAAAATACAACATAAATTTTTACTAAGTACTCATTTTTAAGTAGATCAATAGAGACATAAAAACTAAGACATCATTTGTATATTTATATTATAAAACTTGTACTAATATTCAATTTATTTGTTTATAAATAAATATATGAACTTAATTCTAAAAAAATGACACATTTATTAAACATCGTAATTTTCAACATACCTTCATTTAATTGTAGTAAGTTTTCATAGCAAAATGCTAGTTTAAAATCACAATAAATATAAGACGCAAACAAAAAAGCGTATATTTTAAATTTAACAATCATTTTGCTTAAATTGATATATAAATTAGCTATTTTTAAGGTCAATTAATAATATTTATTATATTATTAATGAATTGACCATCATATCGCAATGAATACAGAATAGCAACTGGTAAATTTGTTGGGTTGTCCCAGTGTACATGCTTTGATGTTGATACTTATACTGGTTTTCCGCTAGAAATAATACACATTATTTCAAGGTTTCTTTAACTGCCACTTAAAATATGATTTCAGAACTTCATTCTTAAATGCACTAATTCAAAACTTGCTTTTTGTAAAGATTTATTTAAAATTTAATATAAATAACATTATTCTGNAGTTAAATTTAATATAAATAACATTATTCTGCACAATAATGCATTCATTTTAATTTTGCAACTTATTTTGCTAAAATGATATTTTGATAATTGATTGATTTACTTAAATATTTTACATGATTTGCATTATTCTTCAACTTATTTTAAAATAACAAATTACGATTATCATGTCATATTTGAAATTTCACATATTTTTAATATTAAGGCTTAATAAATAAGAAGTAAAAAGACGTCTAAGATTTAAATTAACACAAATTTTGATGAATGATAATCAAAAAAAAAAAAAAAATGGTAGCTTTGAAGGTGTTTAGAACCAGCAGTTGTAGTTATGAAAAATCATGGTTTTATGGTTATTCTTCAAAAATACATATTTGTAATTCTAGCACTAAACTTGCTAAGGATATAAAAAATGATGTTTACAAATAATTCAGGTGTGTTCCACAAAATAAAAAAAAGTGTTCCTTCCAACAATTTGTTTTTTTTTTTGTTTCCAACTGTTAGGATGGTTAAATACCAATTTTGTAAGTATATCCTGGGGAAATTTTTTAAGTGCAATGGTTTCCCGTTGGCTTCTGCGCTGGAAAAATGGTGCTTTTTCCGCCACCATAAAAGCGCACATATGGTCACCCATCCGTTCACCTACGGCGGTAGGCGCGGCTTGACACTAGAGTTATATCAACAATTAGCGTGACCAACGTGCTACTCAAAAACATATTTTTAAAAATTCAGCTGAATCATTGTACCTTGTGCAAGAAAGCAGTGAAATATATTAAGAAATTACACTTCTATATATATATGAAAAAACTAAGAGCACTTTTTGAATTTTTGGAATATGTTAATTTGAGATAAAACGTGGACGGAAAATGAAGTATAATAATTTTAACACAACAATAATAATTATTCAATAAATATAATGTACATAAGTATATAATATATACTATATATAATTAATAAAAATATTTAATTAGTACATAAAAAAATAGGTATTATTTAAGATATTATGCTCCATTTTCGCAAAAATCATGGAAAGTAAACATCTATTAATTATTAAGAAAACAAATAAAAAATTCTTAAAATCCACTTATTTTTATTTTCAGATAACTTTTTTTGTCGATCATAAGATAGTGAATTATGACACTTATCGACATGAAAATGACAAAAAATTACATTTTTATATAAAATAATTATATAAAAAATGATTTTTGCAGAACAATTTTTATCAAATTGTATTGACATCGTAGCCTTCAATTATTTAACAAATTATAAAGAAAAATTTTGTCCGTGATTTAATATTTTATAATTTTAATAACATAACTTCAAGGTTTTCTATTTATCATTAAAAAAACTAAAAAATAGTGAAATTTACTTAAATTACTAAACTACTTTAACTTACTAAATTACTACTTACTAAACTAGAAATAATTTATTAAAAAAAATAAATAATAAATAGATCACAGATAATTTTCTCATCAATAATATAGTAAAATATCCTGGGATTTTGAAATCAATACATATGAAATAAAATATATTTATAACTATTTTGTTCTTTGTATTGCGCGCTCTTATTAAATATTTAAGTTAAAAAAAATAATTTTATGTTAAAACATGTTGTATCGACATTTGGTCAATTTGTGTCTATTTTATTATATTTATTTTTGTGCATCCTTGTACTTAACTCTCTTTATTTCCTATGTCCTTATATGCTTACATCTTTTGTTGTTCACTATAAAATCAGCATTGTATTTATCGCTTCAACTCACAGTATCTCATATAGTCCACTACCGTCATATACCATCAGACAACACTCCTTGGTCAAAAAAATCTACACATTACTTATTTATTTATTAAGTTTTATATATTTTGTCATTTTTGCCATATCTGACATTTTAGTATTTAAGAGCCCCTACGCCTTTTAGATTATGATTTCTTCATTGCAGAACTAATAATATATTTATTTACTTGATACTTAATTGTTGTCTATACGTCATTTTTTGGATATCAAACAGCATTGTGATCAAACAGCATTAAACCAGACGACCTCTCTCACTCGCTCCGCTAGTAAACGCAGCAGGCTTAAGGCAAAATGAAAATCTAGTGCAGTCCAAAACTAGCTATCCCATAGTCTAACTGCCTCGTACAAAACAAGTACAATTAATATAAATAATAGTCATTTTTCAGCAATGTTATGGTAGTTATTGTGCCCTCGATTCAATATTCATGTATTTTATACATAAAGCAAACGATGTTTTTTAATTTCTTCATTTAAAGCAAACGAATGTTAATTGACTACTTATATGATTTAACGACTGCATACTGAAAGTAAAAAATATATACATATTATTTTTAAAAAGTTATTGATCTTCATCGACAATTTCGCTCATCTTACTCTACTTTCCCTTACATAAATCTTTTTTTTTAATTTTTAATCAATACTAAAAGTACAAATACGAATAGTGTTTAATAAGATTGCTCAGCAAGTACTAAAGGATCGTTTAAATAATAAATGAAAAAGTCTAAATGAATGAATTATACAATGCATATTCTCTTGTAGTAAGAAATCAGCTGAGATGAAATTCGTTCCAAATAGAACGAGTTCTTTTTGTAGAAACGAAAATAGAAACTGTTTCCTTTAAAAATTTAAGAAAGAGGAACATGAACTAATTCATTTTTCGAGGAACACGACAAAATTTGTAATCCTTTAAATTTTAGTGTTTCTAACATTTATTTTTCTGGGTATTATGAATAAAAATGTACTTTTACGTTAACTCCTAACAATATTTTTTTAATTATGCCTCTATTATATTAACATTTAATCAAGTATAATGATATCTGACAGTGATTAAAATCACTATATAAAAAAAAAAGCTTCGATGCAAATCTTTAGATAGTGTTTAATTTTAAAAATTGATGGTTTATTCCAAAAGCTACAACTTCTGCAAGTTCCTAATTAATATCCTGATTAAGATAAAGTATGTCGAATGAAAGAGGGATTATTAAAAAATATTATTTCTCATAAAAAAATTGTGTTGATCCATACACTTTTCAATAAGTTATAGCATTATAAAGTTAAAAATGTAAAAAATAAAATCGAGAATTTTCACACAAAAATAGCATTTGGTAGCCATTTTCACTGTGAAGACAAAATAAAATCCGAAATTTTTTTTTTCATAATGAAGTAAATTACATTACCTTTAATTTAAGATATATATAAAAGTGTCAGTCTTTCCGGAACATTTTCAAAAGTTAAGTTGAAAAAGTTNATTACATTACCTTTAATTTAAGATATATATAAAAGTGTCAGACATTCCGGAACACTTTCAAAAGTTAAGTGTAAAAGTAAATTTTTTGTGAAAAAGTTGTCATTTTAAATCTCCCCCCGTGGGCAGATAAAGGGTCAGATTTATAAAAAATTATATAAAATGATAGGTAAAGACATCAAGTATTTATAAAAAAAAATTATATGGAAATGTTAATTTTTGAAAAAGTTATGGCAGTTTTAAGTAAAAAAAATTGAAAAAATTTCGAAAATTAACGATTTTTAAATTTGTAATTTTTTTGGAGGTTTCCCCCATTTACGGGGAACGAGAGAAATTTTTTCAATTTTCGAGGGTAATGACTTCGACTAGATACGATTTGTGATCTTTTGAAGTACCGTTAAAAGAAATCCGTTTGGTGAAATCTGAGAAAAAGTGATTACAGACACAAAAAAAAAACACATCATAGTAAAACCAATACCTTCTCAGCTTCGCATCGAAGCTAAAATAATAATTTTAAGTATACTTAAAACTAAATAATTTTAATGCAAATTTATTTTTTCCGAGTTTATTATTCCAGACAAAAAATATATTAAATAAATCAACAATTTTTATACGAATAACAATTTGATAAACTATTGTACTAATTTTTAAGATTAGGTTATATAATTGTTTTATACTATTATGTCGTGTAATTTTCAATATCTATTATATATTTCAATGGTGGACAGCAAATAATTGGATCTAATTTATTAAATGAACATAGCCGAAAATTATATAATTGTTTAACGTTATAATTTTGGATAGACAAACAATTTTCGTAGCGTTGACAAATAAAATTATAACTATTATTTTCATATTCCTCACATATTTCACCTGTAATCAAATTAACATTATTTTAATTACTACTTTAAAATTATTTAGCTCAAGTAAAATATTTAAAACTAGTGTTTAAAATCCCTAGAGTAGTATTGAATTAAGCCTAGATTATATTTGAGTAGTTAGATTTAGATCTCATTCATATTATAGTAAAATAAATAGGATTTTTATCCCCGACCTTACCGCAAGAGTTCTTCAAAAAGCACAACATCTTGGAGTTTACTTACCATTAGGTGCAGAAACACACATCACTGATCATACATCTAGTTATTTCCATTTATTCGGATTAGAAGGCATGGGCATACTCACTTGTAAGCTGCTAATTGACCCACCCAAAATCTCCTTATCAAGTAAGAAAGACTTTTTAACTAAGTCATATACCAATAAGTAAAATTAATATTCAGGAACCTCTATGGTGCCGGGAACTACATGGAGTATAAAGCCCTATCCAGAGCACAGAGCAATGAAATGGTGAACTTATTTTATGAGAACCAATACTATACTACAAACAACGATAATCTTGTTAAAAACAGAACCCAATTATGGAAAACTATAAAAACAATAGTGTAAAAAGAACGATCTCTTAGCAAGATAGCAAGATCATTGGATAATTTTAAACTATAATTCTATTAATGGGGCATCTGTTGATGATAACACGTTTAATATATGTTTTTGGGATCGCTAAAACCGTATCTAAAGAACTACAAAACGTCATGATTTTGATTTTCAAAGAGACTGGCGAAGTTTATTTATTTGACTTACGAGTTTGATTGGATTATTGAAAATTACATTGAAACCCTAACATGCTTGTTATTTGATTCGAATTTAACGAGTCCAAAATTATATAGTTAACGTGATCTGGCCTCCAGGTTCGAACAAGAATTTTTTTTTGACTATGTAAATTATAAGAAAACATTAAAATTGTTTATTAATTTTTTTTAAATATATTTATAGTAGTAAAATATTTTACTATTGAAGATATTTGATTTAAATAAACATTTCTACATAAAAATCAATTATGATACTTAAGTACCTCTAATTAAACGTTGTGTTAATTAAAATAATGCATATAATTATGCACTTACCTTCATTTAGTTGGAGCAAATCAGAGTCATGAGAATATCCTAAGCAATGACATACAAAAAATATTAAAAATATTTGAATTTTCCACATCATAGTAATCACAAAGTTAAATATTAAATAAAAAAATTAACGCTTGATTATTGATGTGTTTTGATAATTTAATTCAAAGATAGTAGTTCATAACGATTGATGCTATACGTTTGTACTGAAGGATTATTTTATAAATCTACTGTGTTCAGGTATCTGATTCATATGAATCTGAATTATTTCAAGGTTTCGATTAGTATTAATCATAAATTACTATCAATAATTCCTTTAGGTTATATATACACGAAAAAATTGTTTTTAAATGTTTACCGAGAAAACATGAAGATAAAAATCAAATAATTAAAATCAATATATGGTATTTCCTTTACAAAATCGTGATATTTTTAGAAATTATTAATTAAAATTTAGTTACCAATAATGTAAAACATATTAAGCATGAAATAATTTAGATTCGGAGTCAGTTGGTTCTTAGTTCAAGTGAGACTTAGTTATAATGTCTCTGACTTTTTATTTAAAAATATGCCAGAAAAAATAAAACTTTTAAAAGTAAACTTTTCAAATTAAAGTTGTTGTTATCCCTTTTGTGTTGACAAAGTTGTGTCCTTTAAGATGTGAACGTTTATCATACTCAAAATCATATCATTTTTTATCAAATAGCCAAATATCAAATTAAATTTTATACTATGTACATTTTTAATGTAATTATAAGATAATATTCTTAGAAATACATTAATTTTTTTAATTATTCTGAACATACGATCATTTTTTTTTATTCACAATGAAGGCGATACACAGATATTTGTGTATATTAGTTTATCTTTATTAATACTTGAAAATGTTCTAAAAAACTTGACAACTTTAAATAACTGCAATTAAAACCTTTATCATTTACTTTATGATGAAAAAAGTTGTTCTCATGAATGCTTTTTATGTATAAATAGACTTCAAATACATTTTTATGGAACGTTTTTTATAAATTTTGTCTTTTTCATAAGCATTAAGATTAAAATTAAGAAAGAAATTACATTAAAAAAACTTTCTTTATGAACATTTATACTAAAGAGTTTTATGGCAGTGATGTAATTAATTACATAGTTTTCTAAAAATAAATGAGACTAAAATTCCTATATATTAGGTTTTTTATTTAGAATGAATTAACCATAATATTACACACCAATTTTTTACGCTAAACAAAATGATAGAAGATACTGAATGAAATTTCATCGCTGATTCCGAATCTGGTCTTAGAAATTTTATATTGACTCTAGTTCTTAAGGTAATCGTAAATTAGTGAAAATCAGGTAATTATATAATTAACAGCTCATTAAAAAAAAAAATTTCAAAAAACCCAATTTAAAACTTTAATTGTCTATATTTAAGAGATGCTTGCAAAATTTGAATTCTATACCTAAAGTTTAAATTACTTCACTTGGCCTTCAAAATTGATTTTGATGGTCTTTTTAAAAAATCAAAAATGAATTTTTCCCTATAACTTTTTTTTTTTGCTTAAACTTATAAGTAAAATATAATTTTTATAATTAAAAAACAAGAAAAACCTAATATATGTTAAGTTTTAATTGATTTGTGCTCCTCTCCTATAGATTATTAAATATTAATCATATATTAAATCTAATTAATCTATTTTTACCAGCGGATATAAATGGCCAAACACCAATAAGTCTTGATTAGAATGTAGTTCACCTCTGCAAAAACAGTGTTTGAAATTGAAAAACGGTTACGCGATTGCAACTAAACTTTTTGTACATTTATTGACCTGTAAAACATAAAAAGTAAAAAGGATTATCCTCAACTAGCAGTTTTTGTCTCAGTTTGTCGTTATTTTAAAAAATTATATATACATGGTTTATTTGAATGTCTCTTAAAAACGCAAAAATTATGGTGTTAAACTGGTTATGGGCTTGTTTTATTTGTTTTTAGGTGCTTTATAATTTAGCTTAATCACAAAATAATTAAATAGTATTGCCTAAAAAAATTAACCTCTTTCTTTTATGAATACTCTTTGTATAAAATTTCAATCTATACTTATTGTACACCATACTGAATGTTTTATCCTTTTCAACTTTACACGAAGTCCATACGCTCATTCCAACATTACTGTGTTTTGAAAAATGAGTTATAATCATTCTTTATAACAAGATCTTCTATAATCTATAGTAATGTAAATCCTTTAATTAAACTACAAACAAGTCCTATTTTAGTGTTCATATAAGATTTAATAATTATTATTTGCATTAATGGAACAAATAATTAAAATATTAATAATAGACATTCTTAATTTATTTCGCAATCTTGATGTTTAAATAATAAAATTATATAAAATCTATTAAACTTAAATATTGTCAATTAAAATGCTAGATACTAAATACCCTTATAAGTTTTATGCTCTTTTAGGTGAATTTGTACTTGATACAAATTTTCGATTTAAACTAAAAATTTGATTTTTATTAAAAGCAAATATGATATCTAAGATTTTGATTTTCCAAAAATGTAATAAACAAATTAATAGTATTTTATAAGATAAAAAATAATGAATTATTCCATAAATAATTCATAGAAATAAATATCGTAATTATTATTTGTTTCGGGATAGACTAAGATTTTCTAACTCTTTCCCTCACGTTTTAATTTAATTAAAACACATACTTACCATTTAATAAAAATAGTAAATAAAAATAATTATTATATATTTTACAAGTAAATTACATCTATACTATATGTATATAGTTAAAGTGTTTTTTAAAAGAAGAACATTCTTTTGAAAAAAACACTTTAACTCAGTTGAAATACTTAATACGCGTTAATGATCACACAACAAACTTTTGTTACCCTAAACGCACAACATTAACAAAAATTGTATTGTTTTAAAGACAGTAAATAAAACTCATACCTCGAGTAAAAAAATTGCTAAAAGTATAGCCAAAAACTAGTCATAACTGATCATTTATTTGTTTGAAATATCCTTGGAAGTAATTTAACACATTTGTCAAGTTTTCTTTTATAGATACGATCACTTGTATAGCTACAAAGATAAAAATATGGTTAGAATGACCATATAAACGGTCAATACAATGACAATTAAAATTAAAACATTTAGTATAACTGAATATTCCGTTGTTTCTAGATAATACACTAATTAATTAATTAATGTTTAAGTTTTAAATTCGATGCAAAGCTGAGAAGATATTAATTTTATTATGATGTGTTATTTTTTGTGTCTTTTACCACTTTTTCTCAGCTTTCAATGGACCAATTTCTTTCAATAATTGCTCAAAAAAACAGAAATTGTATCTAGTCAAAGACATTACTCTCAAAAATTGAAAAAATTTCCCTCGTTTCCCATAAATAGGGGTTGGGGTAATCTCCAAAAAAATTACAAATTTAAAAATTGCTAATTTTTGACATTTTTTCAATTTTTTTTACTTAAATCGTCCATTACTTTTTTAAATATGACCAAATCCTATCACATTTACGATATATTATGATAGATATTTACCTATCATTTTGTATATTTTTTTTATAAATTTGACTCTTAAGCTACACACGAGGGGGCATCCAACTATGCCACATCCCCACTGTGCTGGGTTTTTTTTTTATAATTGACTTATAATTCTTAAAAATATTGTGTTTTTGTAAAGAGCTACAATAATTTTAAACACTATACAGACTATGTTACTTTGTTATACTATTTAAATATGTAAAGTATTATTTAANAGCTACAATAATTTTAAACACTATACAGACTATGTTACTTTGTTATACTATTTAAATATGTAAAGTATTATTTAAACCAAACCAATAAGTACTTTGGCAAACTAGATAATGGCTTAAAGGGCTAAGCCCCCTTGACGTCATAGTTTCTAATACCTTGGTATATTTGAAAAATTGCTACTTAATATTTCATATTTATTTTGTACTGTGTCTAAAATATACCTTTAGTAACTTAAAATAAAAATTAAATAGACATTATCTAGATAAAAAATTATTTGAAATAACATGATAAATGTTATTTGATGTTATGATTGATTTGAATGAAACAAAATAGATGGATTTTACATATAATT